GCTCTTCCCTGTCAGAGATGAGCTTTGCTGGAATGTATTACAAATTAGTAGCAGCCCTGTGGATCTGCTCATGGGTTAGCCCAGCTGCACTGACAGATGGAGGATTTTGGCCCTCTAGTGATAGTGAGGCTGGGAAAGGGCTTCTGTGCAGCCAAGTGATGAGGAGGAATGAGGAAAGTCGTCACATCTCAGAGCTGAAACTCTTGGCTTCTTTTGCAGACCTGTGTAATCCGCGCTTGGGATCTGAGCAAACCTCTGCTTTTCTGCCCAGCTATGAACACAGCCATGTGGGAACATCCCATCACAGCTCAGCAGGTGGAGCAGCTGAAGGGCTTTGGCTACACCGAGATCCCCTGTGTGGTGAAGAAGCTGGTGTGTGGAGATGAAGGTCAGTCCTTTTGCATGTCTTCTGACTGCTTTCCTGCACAAGTGCCCCCACTAGGCTGAAGGGATATGCCTTCTCTTGCCCTGTGCCCTTCAAAACGTTGGACTGTGGTGAGCAGGTGCTGTAACTCCATTGCCAAGGTTTATACAAACAAACTGAAGCTTTGCCCTTGTGTCAGCTGGTATCTATTGTTCCTGTTTGTTAATTCTTAGGTAGTTGTATGAGACTATCCGAGCCAGGCTTTCAAATTTAGGTTTGCCTGATATTTAAAAGAAATACCCCTTCAAGAAGAGAGTAGATTGAAAAGAAGGAAGGCTTTGTGGTGAGTGTATCAGCCTGGCGTTTGGGTGTCCCTACCCTGCCCTCTACTTGCGCTGTGACCTGTGGACCGTTTTCATCGTGCTTCAGTTTCTCGTCTCTAATATAGGGGTAATATCTTATCCCTCAGAGCAGGCAGCGAGGATAAATAGTTTGCAGATGTGGCTGAGGGTGTAGCTGGATGTGCATTTAGTATTTGTTGTTTGTTACCCGGGTTACTTTTCAGCTAAATCAGCTTCCCGATCTAGTTTTGATTTGGGGTTTTGACATCAGACTTGTCAATGAAGTTCAAAAGGAGGGTGTAGGGAAAGTTGTCAGATTCAGTTTCAAATGACTTGACTTGTAATGTTATGCTCTGCTATTAAAATGGTCTCGTTTTTATTTTGGGAGCTGCCTTAAGTAAAGGTATTTTGACTTTGGGGAGACTTTTGGAAGGGTTTCCGTACAAGCAATTTGGAATTTCTTTTTTTTTCTATTCAGGCAAATTTTTTTGGACAAGGTCTGTAAAATGTCACCCAATTCTAGCCATAATAGCAAACATGTTATTATCTGCACAGTAATATATTTATACTTTCACTTAACCCCAACTATAGCAGTAATTTAACCCCTCTGTTGGTTAGTTCAGTGAACAATCTATAGTGAAGACAGGGTGTGTGTTCTTCATGGTTAAATTCTAGGGCTGGCTTTCATAGCTTCTGAATTCTTAGGTAGATGCAGTGCATCTAGAGAATATTTTTTGAAGCTGAAGACTAAGAAATATTTATGGTTAGGTAAGTGTAGTCAAGTAATCAGGCATTAGTTAAAATGCCCTGGACAATTACGCTTTCGCTGGAGTTTTAGATCTCATTACATCAAATTTCTTGCATGCTTGTAATAAAGTTAAGGGAAAACGCCCAAAAGAGGTCATTCCACGCAGACGTTTTGGCAGATATGGAAAGGCCATCTGGCATATCTTTGTCCTTTATAGCTTTTTCTTCATCTATTTTAGTACATATATAGGATCTCTGTTGCGGTAGTAAGCATCCGAGCACCTCATAATTGGTAATGCGCTTATTCTTGCAGGCTTATGCATCTGAGGCAAGGCTGTGTTGTTGTCCCCTTTTCACAGATGGGGATCCGAGATGCAGAAGGGCCATGTGTGTTGACTCACGAGCACAAACAGATCAGAGTTGGATGATGAACGTGGTTTTTGCCTTTTGCTGTTCTGCCCTGCCACTTTCTTGGGGGTTGCCGCCCTTGCGGCAGGGATGTGTGAGCCACATGAGAAGGAGCCTGTGAATCACTGCGGTTTGCAGCTCAGAATGGCAAAGTAAACCAGTGTTGATCAGGAGTTATCTCATTACACTGGCAGTCATTTGGGAGCTGCTTCATATTTGGTGCTGTGGGGACAGGCTCCTGAAGTAGTGGAGTGGACAGCTGGGGCAGTAGTAGCCCCATTTGACTGGACTCTGCTTGTGTTTGTGAGTCAGTTTCCAACAGGATTTTCCGACAGTATGTAGGAAAATTGTGGCAAAGCAGGAACAGACTCTAGGTCTCTGAAGACCTAAGGCAGCTTCAACCACTGACTTCTTCCTCACCTTCCTCTCTTTTTCAGGCCTTTCACCCCAAGGCCTTTTCTTCCAGACTAATTTCTGTTTCATGGGTTTCATCCACAAAGGGGTTTGCCTGGATTTCACCTAAGCAGTAGGTAGCAAAGCTCAAACATCTGGTGCAGAAGCAAAAAGATTCAGTTTGCACCAGTTTTGACTGTTGACGTTGTGGTTTATGTTGCTGTAAAAGAGATTCATCTTCCACTTGTGTCACCGGTCCCACCTGAAGTGGGCCGGATCCTGACTGTCACCAAGTTTCTGTGTGACAAGCTTTTCCTGATAAATTTTTCTCTCTAAGTGGGTGTTTCTAGGCGTACAGATGTCCAACTAAAAAGGAGTTAAAACAACTAACTGAGTTGAAAATTAAAATAGGTTTTCTTGATTGGATAGTTAAATGTAACTTACCAACTGTTGGCCTTGATGATATCCATGTGCCACCATATAAAGAGAGCTTTGAGAGGTGCTGTACCACACCTGGGCCTGCCGCAATTTGCCCTTGCAAAACACTTTCAGACTGTTAGTGTCTTCGTCATCCTTGGCTGGATTTCTAGAGCCTTGCAGACAGGAGGATTTTTACCTGTAGGCATGATCTGTGCTGCAAGACAGGCTGCTTAGCAAGCTTTTGCTCAGCAAAACCTAAAAATCCAGCTGTGAATTGCCAAAGATGTTGAGGATGTGGGTCATGGAGGACAAAAGCAGGCCTTGGAAATGCTCTCAAAGGATATGGTTTTGCCCAGCTGTGAAGAGTCAGGGGATTTCTGTTGTTTAGAAGGACCTGTCAAGTGCAGTTCCACTTGAGATTAGGAGGTAAAGCTGCCCAAACCTGCCTGCCTTTTGTCTAGATGATGCTTCGAACCTCCTGGGATTTACAGGTCTGAAAGACTCATAGTGGAGAATGACAGTCTTGCTCTGCAGAGACACTCTTGTCCTTCCAGAATCATCATTCTTCATCCCAGATACTCACAGGTTATATCCAGCTATGTCTTTTATCCCAGGCAAAGCTCAGGTAACTCTGGAAAACAGCGAGCCCAGTGAGATTCAGTGCTCTCATCTGCCTGTGAAGAGCACCTCTCCCTACTGTTTAGAACTGCCTTTCCCCTTCCTCTGTCTCTTCCCTGCCCTCAAGTTGTTGCTGTCTTTTCAAGACTGCTAGTTTAACTGCTCATCTGCACGCTCACTAACCCGATTGTGTAAGCGGTCCTGGGAAAAAAAAGGGAAAACAAAACCTCCTAGAAGTAATTTCTGATGACAAATAAAGCCTATAGGTTTGAAATAATTAGAGCAATTAACCTCCAGAACAAAAGATCAATAGACTTCATCTTTTGTATCTTCTAATGGAGACAGAGGCTGGTGGAGGAAATATCTTTCTTCAGCCCCAAGCGTATTAGAGGAGTGAATGGACAGAGTCCTGTTGACATAGTGCAGTGGGTTGGATGAGCTGACTTAATGATCTCTGCTGGCCTTAGAATTCTGAATCTAAGTTAAAAAAAATTACTTCAGAGGGAAGCAACAGTTTCAGTGTAGATTAGATGTTCATCTGGCAACTAACCAGTCCAAAAGGAACAGTTTTTGTATTTTGTTCTGTCCAGCACTTAATCTTCTCCAAGAATTACTCCCAAGATTCAAGCCAGTGCAAAGTCAGGATAACTTTCTCTCTGATGTGGGTCTAATTGCAGAGTCACTGGAATGGTATGAAATCAGCAAGTATTTTTTTTTAATAGGCAAAAGCCATTTTGAAAAGATACTAGACACACACAATGTGAATATGTTCACACTGGAGAAAGAGGAGGAAATGAAGTATCTTGTTACTTCTACATACTAAGATGCTAGCTCCCTGTGCGGTCAGGGATTAGATACAGACACCTCTGGAGATGATTCAGAGCAAGAGGTACTTATTAAGGTCATATGAGTTGCCTTTTGAGGTTTCCAGCCTCTCTCCATTGACTGTCTGAGGAACCTGTACTCCTGCTTAGACATCTGAGTTAGGAGTCAGACTAAGCGTAAATATTCTTCTCGCTCTCCTCCTCACCGGCATTCAAGCATGCCACAAAATCCGTGCAGATTCAGCTGGACTGCGCAGATCCTGTGGCCTCCTCTCAGGATCTGCGGTTGCTTTCTGTCAGGCAAGATAGGAGGAAATGCATGAGGGATTACTTAGAGGCCTATGGTTAATGGCAGAGTCCAGCCTAGTAGGTGTTGTCAGTGAGAGCGAGCTTTTCCCCGGCCTTGCTGTGATGTCCCACTGTTGTGTGCGCAACTCACTGCAACACTGCTGAGCGTGTAGAGGAAAGGAGGTGGGATAGGGGAAGCATGTGCCTCGTGCTGTCTCTGGGGACCTGGATGTTACAGTGTATGTTTGGTCTTGCCCTCCAGGTCGAGGTGCCATGGCAGAAGTGTGGACCATTGTGGAGAAGGTGAAAAGGATCCTTGCAGAACGGGTCTTGCCAATGCAGAGCTGATTGCTAGGCATATGAATTGCATTTGTTTCCCTCCCCGACGGTTTGAAGATGAAACCAACAGGAAGCTGAGTTGAGATGGCATGCGTCCCTGTAGCAAGCTCTTCAACCGGAGGAGCGAGACGGTTGTGTTCCAGCTGGGGCAGAACTGAAATGTGGTACATCGCGGCAGCCTTTCAGAAACTGAAGCCAAGAGCATGTATCTTTACTGTGGGAAAACTTTGTGGTATCTTACAGAGAGGGAGTAACGTTCCACTAGGCTAGTCAACCCCAAGTATTTCACGTGCGATCCCTTCTTTGGAGGTTGCAGGAGGACTTGCCAGTGTGTTCCAGATCGAGCAGTTCTCCCAAGGGGAGCTAGAGAGGAGATGGTGTGAAAGTGCTGGTGATGGGAATAGTACCAGCCCCTTCCAGCCCATCATTATGGGGATGGTGAAAGATCACTGGTCTTCAAAGCGTGATCTGTAGCTGTGCTGGCTTTACCTTTCCAGCAGGAGCCACTATCCAAAAAAAGCATTTTCTCTCTGGGTACTTAATAAAAGAGAGCTTTTAATTCTGCTACTGAAGAATTGCCTCTTGTAGCTGTTTTGGGGGTGTTTGTGCTTAACATCGTAGCTAACATCTGTGTGCTGTTTTTATCAGATGTGAAAAAAAAATTGACTGAAAGAAGCTGTCTCGTCCCTGAATTAGCCTTTACCCTTTTGTATCTGTTGACTGGATAGGGATGCAGACATCAAAATGACACCTGTCCATCTGGGTACTTGAGTCAGGAAGCGAACAGGCTGGGCCCTTGTGGAAAGCCAGGTTGGGTGTTCCCAAGGCAGTGAAGTCAAACTTTGCCTACGGCAGTCCTTTTCAGCTTGAAAATTAACTGGTGTGAAAAAATTGGGAAATCCTGAGCCCATAGGCCAGACCAGCCAGAGCTCCCCCAGTCCAGCCTTTCCTTTGAAACGTGATGCTGCCCCAGAGGAGAATGGGGGCGAGCTTTGTATACATCGCCACAGCAGAGCGCTGCTGACCAGAGAGTTTAACTATACCTAGTCAAATGTAAGGTTTTCAGTACAGAATGTGCATCCTGCTTATGGGGGGCAACCTTCAAGCTGCTGAGCACAAGGAAAGAGGTTATCGGGGTATGTTTGCTTTCCTTATCTAGTCCACATAAATAAAACACTTTGAACTTTCCCATTTTTGGCTCCTCCACAGAAAGAGAGCTGAGGATTCAGAGCTTCTAGGGATAAGGTCAGAAAGAGCCCTCGTGTGAGCAGAGCTGCTGCCTCATGAGCAGTAAGAAGGGCCATAGTGGTACCGGTGGCTGAGTTTTGCATTTTGTGTCCCAGTGGTGGTGCTAGGCCGCACCAATGAAATCTTTGTGGTATAACCTGCATGGTTTGCTCATATTCTTAGCCTGATGACAGCTATCCGCCTATTAGAGGTTTTTACTTTAAGCTTACTGAAGGCAGTAGAAGAGATGCCTCTTGATTTCCATCAGTTTTGTAGTAGGCAGTATTTCTGGCACTTGCAAAAAACATATATTCTGGCAGTTGCAACTGCCAGACCTTGGTAGCTAGACCTTGAGGGTTCTCCTCCTAGCTCTGCTATGGATATCCCATATAGTTGGGATTTTTTATCCTCTCTCCTAGCCTATGATTTGGCAATAAAGTAAATCTGACATTAGGGTTCCTCATACTGGATCAAAACACTGTGTCCGTGTGATATGAATGTTCATCTGTTAATCTATTTTGCTAGTTTGAGCTTGCTTCAAAAGCCTCGACAGGTTTTGTCTGGCTTCTTCCATCAGGCGATGGAAGAAGAGCAGGCGAGAAAATGTAAAGCATAGACTACAGGGTGTGAACTCTGGTAATTCAACAGAAATGGGATAATGTACCCATTTTAGATCCAGAATTTCTGTTGGGTCACCTGCCAGCGCTCAGATCTGGCACTTACGATCATAGGACCAATCTCAGTGAGCTGACCTGTAAAAGGTAGGGAGAAATTGATAAGCCATTTAGGCTCCTTGAAAGGCTTAAATTAACGCTTGCAAAGTATTTGCAGATCCTTCAGTAAAAGGAGTTAATTCTTTGTCCTGCGAATATGTAGAGCAGACCCTGGGCAGCAATAGAGATGTATGTATGTCCAAGTAGAGCCTGAGGCAATGACAAGGAGCGCTTCACGGCAGCCAGGGGTAACGGCCTGAAAAACACACAAAGAACCCATCTGGAAAGGACACCACTCCCAGTCTGTCTCATCATGTGCTGCAAAAACAGATACTAATTGTGTCACTAAATGATCCTCTGCATAATTGCTTTCATTTCTAATTGGAGGCAGGCCGTGATATCATTACAGGTTGGGATAAACTCTGCTGAAACCACCTTTCCTTCAGGGCAAATGTAAGAAACAGTTAAGTTCCTTTTAGGAACCAGAGGGCTGAAGCAATAGCAGCCTCCACCGGTAACACAGACAAACATCCCCGCCCATGGCAAGGTATGTGCAGGGAGCCTCTGGGCAGGGAAGTTTTGTTTGATGCTTTCTATTTAAAAGAGGCAGAAAGAGCAAGCTGCAGGGAAGCCCTGTCCACAGCCACACGAGTTGTTCCGCTCTAGGAGAGGACTTTGGGTTGAGGCCTTTCTAGGACATGGTTTGGAGTTATGAGCAAAGGACCTGATTCCTGCTTCGTTCAAGGAAACGGGACTTTGTTCATTCTCTGTCAATAAACAGGATTGCGGCACTGCCTGGTTCTGCCAACTCTGAACCAAAAACAGCCTGGGCTTTGGTTGGCCACCGAGGCTGCAGAGAGAGAGGATCTGGTGAGGTGTTGAGTGATGACTTCCTCAAGGGAGCCTGAGACTGACATCTCAGTCCTCGGTGCTTTTGTGGTTTTTTTCAGGTGCACAGAGAAGGCCTAAAGTTTTAGTTGTGTGCTCTTTCTTCACCTCTTAAACTAACTGTTGATTTTGTTGCACTTTCCCATGAAAGTCTCTGATGACAGAAGCAGCATCCCAGTGAAATGTGCTGTGTTGCAGTTTCATTCATGCTGCTTAAAACTGTTTCTCTCAGCACTGGTTTCTGAGTGATAAGCAGCTGGGATAAAAGCTCTGCTAAGGCAGCGGCCCTGTGCTCCTTTCCTGCGTTTAGATCAAGGCTTTCAGCCTTGCCTGGACTAGGACATGGAATGGTTTCAGATGATCCTGCAGGCTTACTGCTTTGTTCACACCAGGAGTTGAATGCTTTAGGAGTGTTTAACACTTCTTAGCTAAAAAGAAATACACGCAATTTTACCTTAGAGGGATCTATGACTTCTGACCAGTTTGTCAGATGCCTCTGGCTGCTTCCCCTCCATCCTAAATTTGAAGTGATCTATTTACTGCTTAGTTATATGGGGTCCTGGAGAAGGACAGCGATGCTGTGGTGCTGCGCTACATCCAGGTAGTCTGGCTTCGAGTATAGTCCTTTTGTCAGGAGATCGCTGTTAAGAGTCAGCTCTGCAGCTGCAATGTGGTCCTTCACGTTCTCCACTGTTGCTTGACTTGGGAGCCCTAATATCATCCCGTGTACCTCACCCTCCTTATGTCTCGCTCATCGTCTTCTGGGAGCCTTCAGCAAAAATCAAGGAACACGAAATGCAAGACTGACTGCAAAAAATCCCAAGTTAAAAAAAAAGGGGGAGGGAGGGAAGGAAAAACTTCCCACTTCATGATTAAAAAGCATGACAAAATTGTGCAAAAACACTTAAAGCCATGTATTTCTTCATTCCTTTCACAGGTCCGAGGCCCATCCATCCTTGTGACCCTTGTTCATTTGATAGTTAACCAGGCATGAGTTTGACAGCACGTTCCCCTGTTTCTCCTCCAAATCTTTCTTAGGCTGTTTGTCACCTCTCTTAAGTGGTGCAGAGTGCCTGTTTTTAAGAGCCCTCCTCACGCAGCGAGTTTGTGTAGCTGGGCTCCGGAATTCACACCTGCCTGTAGCAAGCCGGGCAGCTGGTGGCGGGGTTCGCACCTCTGCAGCTCTGCCTGGAGACAGCTTTTCTGCATGCCCAGCAAACGGGGAAGCGATGCGGTTTGTATCTTCGAAAGCACGGTGCAACAGGAAGCGTATTTCTTTCCAACACGCGCGCGCGGGCTGCAGAGCTTAGCGCGAGCGCAGCCAGCAGCGAGGCTGGGTGCTACGAGAGGGCGGTGGCTGGGGGAGGCAGCGCGGATGGTGACGAGTTGGTGGTGGCAAGTGAGAATAGCTCTTGGGCCCAAGTGTGGCTAACATGGGCGTTCCTGAAAGAGGAAAAGCAACCTGTTGTACTCTGTTGAGCGCTGTAGGCGAGCCTCAGTGAGAGAAGGGAGAGTCAAATCCCAAAGGGCTGCCTTTCATTGTAACGCTGACTGTGGTAACAGTGTTCCCTGAGTTGGGGTTAATTCCCAGAAGTCTGTCCTTGCACTGGCAGAATTAAAAATACCTAGGTAAATCCAAAATAAGTGGTTCTTCCTTCTGAAAGGTTCGCGTAGTGATTGCAAGACTAGTATCCCTTTGTTATCATGCTCTAGCAGTGTGGGATTACTGTTATACCCTCCTACTTCTATATAAAGCTGGCTGCTGGACTTATGGCTCCACGGGGGTGGTTTGGACTGACTCCGCACTGGAGCGGCTGAGGACGCTGCCTAGTTCCTCCCCACCACTGCGCTGTCAGAGCCCTGGCTGCCAGCTGAGGAGGAGCAGCTTGGAGGTGAGCTGGACTGAGCTGTCGCAGCTGCGGGCAGCTGAAGGCCTGCTTGGCACAGTGCCTGAGTGCGGGGGGCCACCTGAGCAGGCTTGGTACCTCTCCAGGGTAGCTGAGGGTGCCTGGGAGCTCGGCCAGCCACGGGGGGTTGGCCTGTGCTGCGATGCCCAGCCCGTCACTTCTCTGTGCCTCAGCCTAGCTACTTTGAAGCTGGTTTGGACACCTGCAGCACAAGGAAACCTCTCTTTGAATGACTGGCAAGTACTTTTTGCCTGTGGAAGTGGGACCTGGATTTCAGGTGTCGTGCTCCAAAGTGGGGAGGGCTGCTGTTAACAAAGGAACTGCTGGTCCGCCTCTTTGTAACCCTCTGTGTTACAGAAAGCAAGCACTGATTTGGGTTTTAATTTGCCCACCTGCAGCTCACAGCGTGTCCGTTCAAAGCCCCTCTGTTATCCCTGTGGCAGGGTCGGGGGCTGAGAAAGATGCAAGGTGAACACTGGGTGTAGGAGAGAGCTTGCTACAGCCTCTCATTCTAATTTGCCCACTTGTAAATCAGCTATTTTGGAGCTTTTCAGAGTCTTTCAGAGTTACTTCCTAGTTAACCCTACCTTCAAACTTTGTGCAGATGGATGAATACAGCAGCAACAAAGGGGTGATTCCAGCCTGCTACCTAGAACCAGCTGGATTTTGCCATGCCCAGAGCTGTAGGTGGCCACTAACTCAATGGTTTTGCAATGTGGCTGGAGCCAAATTAAGAATTTGCTGCTAAAAGGGGGAGGACTGCGCCCATCGCTTTCCTGGACCTCCTCACTGCTTACCCTAAGCTCTCTGGCTGTGATGAGCTGTTAATTTGGCTCA